TTTTTTTTTAATTGAAAATGTTAAATATTTGTATCATTGCTAATTCTTCATAAATACATAAATTATTATTATTGATAATTCTTATTATAATTATGAAATACTTTACAAACTCTCTGTTCTGATAATCAAACATTTTAGATATGAGGAATTGCTGTTGTAAAACTTCTAGATGTTCCTTATCTGGAGAAAATTAGGCCCTAAAAACAGGATGAATTCGTCGATTTTTTGCACCTTATCTGCGGGTTTTCAACTTTTAATAATTTCACCGGGAAATAAAGTTGATAACTCTAATGATGTGCCCTCCAGACTAGTTTTCCAATTATTTCTTCTTCCTACACACCCTACCCCCCGATCCCTTTAAAATTCCAACCAATACAAGTTGCGAAAATATAATTACGTTTCCTTTCCAAACAAACTGTGTATGATCTCTGTGTAATAGTATAAAGTTCGATGATATTGACAAAAAAAAGTCTTTATAAATTTATAATCCCTTTAGAAAATTCCATGTTAAATTGAAATATACTTTACTACAAATACTAACTTTTATATAATAATGATTCTACTTAAAAACTTTCATCTGTAATAGCAAGAAATATAAGTAAATACCAGTATTTGAAGCAATTAAGAAGAATTTCATTCAACAAATATAATTTACAATATTTTATTTAAAAAATACAAGACACTAATTTTTTATTCATTATATAAATCTAAGAATATAATAAGAATATAATATAATTTTATAAAAATTTACTAAATAATTTATCTAAAACTCTAATTTTCTATAGATTTACTGATTTTTTTACAAAGAAACGTTTGCAAGAGAAAAATACCTGTATTTGAAGCAATTGCGGACAATTTCATTCGCTATATATATATAGATAATATAGAGGACAAATGTTTTGTGACTCGAGCCACGTATTCTGCAATTATATCAATGCCATCTGCAGAGATCGTTTTATACTCGACCGCATTAAACTTTAATCTCCGTCGATTAACTTCGAAGCGCTCATCTCGTTTAATACAGAGAGATAGATGTGCGATGATCCGGGCGAATCCTGAGAGCAGAGCAAGTGGAATTCGAAACTATCCTTAAAACTTGTATTCCAAAACACGTCCTTCCTCACGAGCCATCATTCATTCGAGTGTCTCCAGCAAGTAATTGAGAGAAACGGTCAATGCGCATTCCTATACGCAATCTCTTTAATCGTAATTAAGCCGCACCGTGCATAATTTGCGACAGGCAAATAAGTCATTACGCATTGCGGACAAAAGTATATTTTCTTTATATTGTTGTTTATGCGATAAAGAAACAAGTAGATTTCATTGTTGTGAGCTTTGAATTGCAATTTTGAATGGAATTCCGGATGAGCGTAATTCCAATCCGATTTTAGATTAGCTCGAGATTATCCATGATGCACAATGCTTTCTCGCAGCATTCGCACAAAGACGTTTTATTTGTAAAAAAAATCGGGATAATTGCAGATAACAACAAGAAATTCTTATTAATGCTGATAGATTTATAAATTGTTATTTCGCATTGAATGCAACTCATATCTTCAATATTTGCATTCAATGGAAATTCCAATAATTACAGTAATCGCAGTATTGTTGAGAATTGAAGTGAACTAAATAAAATCAATCACTTTTAAAACTTGTTTCTACGCAATGGGTATCCTACAATAAGATTTAATTACTAATTTGATTAGATAATTATGTTATTTATAATAACATATCGAGAAAATATGAATCTAATGAGTTTTACAGTTAAAATTTAAATATTTATTGCAACAATAAAAAAATTAAACATTATTATCAAGATATCTGGTGTTCGCACCCTTCTTCATAAGAAAATGCATGGCGAGGGCGCCTGTGGGCTACTAATAATAATGCGCTCTTATTCGTAAGAAAATGCATGGTTGGACAAGCGCCTGTGATGTACTAAGAATAATGTGCGTAATTTGAATTAATATTAATTAACAGCGCCGCAGCAAAAGGGGCGATGCTTCAATTGTAGGGGCGCAAGTAAGTGTTTTCTTGAGGAAAGTGGGGCGTAAACTAAGTACATGTAAGTACTTAGCGCCGGTTCGATTTACGCCGATTCACAATAACGCCGCTGTGAAATAACGCATATTAATTGCTGATTTTACATTTATATAGATCTAAATCCTATAGTTACCTCACTGTAAATATGGCTTCATTTTACGCCGATTCGATTTGCGACGGCTTTTGTAAGAACGGAACACCGGTGTAAAACGACGAACGATATATATTTCCTTTGATTTGAGTCGGGGGCGCAAAATGGAATGGAATGGAATTTGGAATACTTTGTAGTATTTATTTAACACTTAGATGCTGGTGATTCTTAATCTAGCTTCCAAGCCTATAGGCTTGTTTGATGTTCGTTGGGTATTCTACAATAAGATTTAATTTGATTAGATAATTATGTTATTTGCAATTACATGTCGAGAAAATATGAATCTAATGAGATTTACAGTTAAAATGTAAATATCTATTGCAACAACAAAAAAATTAAACATTATTATCGAAATATCTGGTGTTCGTAGGCTCCTATGAATAATGCACCCTTCTTCATAAGAAAATGCATAGCATTTCTATTCTTAAGAAAATACATAGTAGGACAAGCGTAGTCTACTAAGAATAATGCGCGTATTTTGACTTAATATTAATTAACATCGCCGCAGCAAAAGGGGCGATGCTTCAATTGTATGGTAAGGGTTTTCTTGAGGAAAGTGGGGAGTAAACTAAGTACAGGTACGTTTTGCGCCGGTTCGATTTACGCCGATTCAGAATAACGCCGCTGTGAAATAACGCTTATTAATTGCTGATTTTACACTTATATAGAACTAAACCCTGTAGTTACCTCACTGTAAATATGGCTTCATTTTACGCCGATTCGACACTTAGATGCTGGTGATTAATCTAGCTTCCAGTTGCTACAAGCATAGGTTGCTGGTCAAAAGTAGTATCAAACTAGAACTATTACTAGGACTGGGTTCTTCCTAGGACTAACATGAGTCGCGGACTAACTAAGACTAGGACTAACTTAAAAATAATATAAGTGTCGTCTTATATGTAAGAAGACGTCCTGAATACAGAATAATATTCTAAGGGCAGTGGCTAATTTGCCATGTGGGATGTACGCTGTCGATAAGGTCTAAAGGGTGATACATCTTACAATTGTTTGGGGAGGTTAATTGTGGGTGGCATAGTTTGTATAGTTAGCAGTTTAGAAAGAAAGAAAGAAAAACAAGCTTATTGTATAATATAAATTTGCATGCTTGTAAACCTAGTGTTTCTGAATTTAAAAAAGAAGTTTCCCACGGAGTTACAAAAGAAAAACTCCATTCATTTTCAATATTTACTTAACGTTAAAATTATGCAGGCAATAAATCAACAATAGACGAGGTCACAACATCAAACATAGAACAGCAACTAAGATTATCAATTTTTTGTAACGTCAAAACGAAAGTCACGCAACTGTCGTTACATTGCATATCTATATTATTTATAAACTGCTTATTTAAGTTATAACAGAATCACCGTTATATTCGTATAAAATTTAATTGTGTATTATCACATGAAATATAATTCTGTAAACGTCAATTCGTTTATTTCCAAGTTTCAAAGACGTTATGCAATTTGCTTAAAAAAACTGTCCAATTTA